GCTCTGTAGGGTGGAGCTGAGCTTGGACTTCTCATTCATCTTTCCCAGGCAGGGCTCTGGAAGCAGGATCTGGGGTGTAGCCTTGAGCTGAGAGTGATGATGAGGCTTCCTCTGCCCACGAGGCAGCTTTAGCTGGGAACCAACTGAAACTTCCCTCCCTGAGTTTCGCATTTAGGTGGCCAGGAAAGCCTGGCCTGACCAAGAGAGAAGAGAGACAGACAGACAGAGGCAACACCACAAGCGACCACCAACTTTATTGCCTCTGTGCTGGGGTCCCACACTTGGGTTCAGAGATCTCTGGGGGCAACAGGGAACTCTAGGCCCAAATTATTGCTACTCTGCAAGGTCTTCTTGGGGCTTCTCATAATGCCCTGAGAGTGGGTGGGGTGAGATCATGCAAATGATATGCAGATGACATGCAAACCAACCCAGCATCCTCCAGAGGTCTCTGGTACAGCCACTGATGCTAGAAATTCTAGGGCTGACCCAGAAGTGTGATAGACACCCAGGTTTCTACTCTACACTACGGACTGAGTTGGCCTAGCCTCAGGGGTCAAGGTTCCAGGGTTTGAGGGGGTCCCTGAGCATCAGCCCTGGTTCTGCCACTGGTTGAGGAAGAATAGAAACCTAACCCCAAAACAGCAAGCAGAAAGCAGGACACCCCTAGGCAGCCAGAGAGGGAAAGGATCTGCCTGGGTCATACAGCAAGGCAGAGGAAAAGGGGATCAGAATCTGGACTTCCTGAGTCAGACAGAAGCCCAGGTGCTTGGAAGCTACAAACAGTAAAAGAAATAAATAAGCAAGCAGCCCAGCCCCTAATCCCTGTGCTGAAACCCTCTACCAGCTGATCAGGCCCTTAGCCTGAGAATAGGCAGGCTCCTTGGTCTTAGTGCAGAGTTGACCAATGCAGAAGGTTCTAGAGTGATAGGCTGCAGAGTCACCAGCTTAAGCAGACCCAACTCAGTTATTATTCATAATCCACCAGGAGGCTGTGGGTGAGAGGTTGGGGGCTTAGGAGTTATGTGGGGGGCTGCCCCTCATGGGTCTGCCCCCAAGGCTGTTTGGAGCACAGGGGTACAGCGCACCTGGGAAGAACACAGTGGTGAGGGTGTCTGGGGCCTGCAGGTGATCGATGAGGGTGCGCTGGAAGGTCTTGCTGCAGGGCGACTGCTGGTGCCTGGAAGGGCCATGGAAGAGACAGAGGCTGCAGCCCTCTACTCTTAGATCAGTGCTCTGGGTTACCCAAGATTAGTCCTGTTGCCTGGACTCAGACACCAACCCTTCCTCTACTGGTTCTACCCTCAGTCTTCCCCCTCAGTAAAATGGGAACAAGGTACCTACATCACTAGACTACTGCAGGGACTAAATGAAGGCACCTAGCACAGGGGGCATACACTGAGTTTATGTTAGACAGGGTCTTGTTATATAGTCCAGGCTGGCCTTAAATCATTGATCCTCCTGCCTCTGCCTTTCAAGTGCTGAGATTTTAGGTTTGTGCCACCGTGGCCAACTTGTGTTATTCTATCTGTTGTTTTTGTTTGTTTGTTTGTTTTGAGACAGGGCTTTGCTGAATTTGCTTTGTAGCCCAGGCTGGCCTTGAACTCTGAGCTCTCTTGCCTCTACCTTCAGTGTTGATACAACAGGCATGCACTCAATACCTAATTTGCATTCATTTTTTACACATCTGGGACCCAGATGTGTTAGGTAAGTTATCTTAAGTTGCACAGCCAGTGAGCAGGAAAATAGGACTTGAACCCAGTTTGAACCCCTCCGGAGCCCAGTGTCAGATGTTAAACCACCACTCACCTTCTCCAGGACGCTTCATCCTCCCAGAACTCATATAGGGTGAAGGCAGCATGGTCTAGCATCCTCTGGGCAGACACACTACAGAGCCAAAGAAGGAGCCAGGCTGGACCAGGACTGTGACCACCATTGCCTACCTGCCAAGGGTCTCATGGGAGCCCTGCTCAGCGTACCCAGCTCCCCATCCCTTCCTGCTCACTCCTGCCCACCTCAGCCACCCCTAGCTGCCAAGGGTCTCATGGGAGCCCTGCTCAGCGTACCCAGCCCCCCACCCCTCCCTGCTCACTCCTGCTCACCTCAGCCACCCCACTAGCTAGTCAGGGACTCACTGCAGACAGTGGCTCTGGGCCCCTGTGAAGTTCATGTAGCAGCACAGGGCACGATGGAAATCCTGCAGGGCGTCCTCTGCCACCTGAACCTGCCTCTGCGCCACAAGGATGTGCTGGCAAGAGAGCAGCTAGTCACTGCGGTAAGCTGGCCTCAGAGTATAACCTCACCCTTCTGAGATGGTTCAGATCTGCCTGCCCCCTGTGCGATGGTCCCCACAACCACCAAGACCTCCCAGCGTCTTTGACTCCATCCTCCAGGAGAGCCATTGACCCTCTGCTGTACCACCTCCCACTGTGCCTCTACCTTCCATCCCTACCTCAGGCCTGACTTTCAGAGATACTGGTGAGAGAACAGAAAACCTAAGAAGGTCGTAGAGCAAGAACCAGAACCCAGCACCTGCCTACCAGGTCTGAGGGAGAGCCATTACCCTTCTTCATGGGTACTCCTTCCCAAGCTCACCGAGTCAGGACCCTTGGCAAGGTCCTCTTCACGCAGGGGTTCCAGCCGGGGTGCCTGCAAGGGACACAGAATATAGGCCGAGCCTCTAACATGTATTGGTGTGGACAGGCGCCACAGAAGTCCTCTCTGAGGGGCACTAGCCCGCCAGCCACGTACCTTGCATTCAAGCTGGTCTATGAGCTCCTGGAGGCGGTTGACCTGCAGCCGCCACTGCTGCTCGGCCTCTGAAGTCCACCCTGACAGGAGGACCAGGAGGACATCAGCCAGCGGCCCCTGAAGCTGGGAGTCCTCTCAGGGTGAACTGGGAACAGTGGCAGAGCAAAGCCCTGGCAGAATAGGACTCTGTGCAACCAGATCCTACCCTGCCACAAGCACACCTGTATCAGAGGATCCAGGAGACCAGGCTGGTGACCAGCTGATGCTCCTCAGGGCTCTGCGGCCTGCCCGCCGACTGCTCCGGGACCTACTCTGCACTTCCATATTTTCTCCATCCAACCTAGAAAATAGAAGATCAGCCTGCTACCCCCAGACCCATAGGGTCCTGTGCTGGGATTCCAGCACAGGACCAGGCTGAAGTGGGGCAAGACAGGTCTGCTAGGTCTTTGAAGCCCAGCCCCTAAACCACCAGCTCATGGCCTCCCTGTCCTAGAATGTGGTCTCCAGAAGGCTGGGTGGACCATGACACTGCAGAGTTTGGAATGCAGGAACAAAAAGCACTCACACACCAAACTGCAGGCCAACAGCACTCTCACGTACCGCTGACCACGGGCCTGGGCCTCCAGGGTGTCTGATGCCCCCTCCAGGGAGCTCTGTAGGGCTTGGAGCTGATTCACAGTCTCTCGAAGCAGGAATCGTGTGACAAACTGGTCCACCTTGGAGGCCTGTTCATACTCCTGTGGGCAGGGCAGAGAGGTGTGATTGAAGAAGTAGCTTACCTTGCTGTCAGCCCGTGTCTTGCTCAGTAGAGCAACAGGGAAAGTGAAAGATGCAGGGTATGCAGGCCCAGCACAAGGCTGCTAAGGCCCCTTTCCTGGTCTGGACTGGGTTTTTTGTTTTTTGTTTTTTATCCTGGCAGGTATGAAGCTGACTCATAAGGATCACAGCCTACCAGTACACTGGTTTTCCTGGATCTCAATTTCTCTTCTCTGTTAAGACTCATCCTCGTCTTTGCCACAGCCAGTGATGCTCCTGGGCACAGCCAGACAGGGTGAAGGTACAGGACAGTAAGGCCAGTTTTACACTTGGTACAAAATGATGTGTGATATGGCTTCTTTTTGACCTTCTGGACCCAAACTCACAATCTGCATATGCATTTGTTTGTTCTCTCATTATTCCATTCACCAATCTATGTAACCAACATTTACTGCATGGATTTTGCTAGACGCTACATATTGAAGACCTCCAGGTCACTGAACACACACACGCACACGCGCGCCTGAACTGACCCCGGTCCACACTGCCAGCCTCCCCTCAGTTAGTTGAAGGTAAGAGACGGGGAGGCTGACCTTGCATCTTGGGATACTCACACTCCTCAGCTGCTTTCACTTGTGCATCCATTTCTCCCACCAGACTGAACTGAGGTTCCCCTCAGGTACTTGCTACATAGGGCTAAGCCTAGTGCTCGCAGTCAGAGCTCTCAATCTGAAAAGGCCACTACTATTGTGGAACATATCGTTAGTAATCTGCCTAGCTACATACCTGGACAGTCAGGATGCCCTTAGAAGCCCTCACCCTCACCACACACCCAAACCTAAGATGGGAGTCCTGGGGAGCCATGAAGAGCCAGGCCTCGCAGCACCATCTATCATGAGCTTCATTTCTTGCCTGTCACCTGCCTTGGCTCAACCAAGATGGTACCTTCTGGACCAAACTTAAAACAAAAGGGATAGAATAGTGCCTGGTGCCTGTCCTGAAGAATGTGGGTTGTTTCCATGACATCTTTTCAGTAACTTCCCTTTGGAGGTATAAGAGGACTGATCAATTTTCTGCTGCTTTGCAACCAAAAAACCTGGTTGGCAGAACCACCCACCCCATACCAGACTCCTCCCAAGAATTTCTTTTAACCATCATAATTTGTCGGAACCATAGTTGACTCCACTTGGTATCTGGGGCCTTGAGAGGTTGAACCTTAGCCAAGGTTAAGCATCTAATTAGTGGCAGGCCAGGATTCAAATTAAAGCCACAGAAATTTCCCTCTACGCAGCTGGGAAGTTGAGACCAGAAGAGGTCACAGACAGTGAATACAGGCCAGATTCTCGGGGGAGTTCCAGCGGGGAGCAGAGCTTTGGTGTGGTGAGGTCACTTGTGAGCTCACAATGCTGTTCACTTGGTGGGGTGGGGCCAAACCGGCCCCTGGGTAGAGGGCAGGGCCGAGGCAGCATGGGCAGTGGCCTCTAGTGAACAGTCCTACCATGGGAAACAGCAGTTCCCACAAGAGGACCAAAGCACCCAGTCAGGCCAGTAAGGACAGGCCGCCTGGCATGGAGAAGGCCCGTCACAAGCAGTTCTTCAGCCACCTCAAGCGGAAGAAGCCAAGTGTGAGTATGGGGAGGCCCGAAGGGATGGTGGGTGCTAGAGTCTGTGCCTTTAGACCCAGGGGCATGAGAGGGGTTAGAGAATCTCTTTAGAGGAGGAGGGTCCCTAAGCCCGTATAGGGGTCCCAGAAGAAAGAGCAGAAGGTGGGGCTCTCTTAACCATGGGTCAGGCATAGGTGTTGCTGGGACCACAGACATGGAATATCCTTTACTCCCTCTCTCCAGCCCACAGCTTCACAACACGTCACTTTCCCCTTCTTTCAATGGCGAGAGGCCCCTGACTCCGCCCGGGTGGGTGAGAACACCCGCATCAAGACTGGGAAAGTACGCAGTGGATCGGCCTAGGGTGGACGATGGGTTCCTGTGAGGAGGCAGGGTCCCGGGGTGCGGGGTGAACGGCCCTGAAGGCACCGTGGGGTTCGGGAGGTTGGGTCTTCCAGAGGCGCGGGAGTGGCTTCAGACCCTGCCAGGGCGAGTTCTTCCCCCTCAAACCCGCCCACCCCCAGACCAAGATCGTACTGCTTTTCCCGCTGGATAAGCGGCCACAGCTGGCCGAGGCAGCAGCGGGCCGGTATGTGCGGCCCGGTCGGCCGGCTGAGGATGCGCTCGGCGCCCCGACATGCTTCCCAGCGGTGGCGCCCATGCTGCGTGGGGCAGGCGACGGCGTGGACAGGCGCGAAGGCGCGCGCGCGCGGGAGATGAAAAGGATCCTGGTGCTGCTGCTGCAGCTGGACGCGCGGCTGCAGGAGGAAGGGCGTCGCGGGGCAGGCGGGCGGGGGGGCGGGGCCAAGGCCCCGCAGGGCTGGCAGCCGCTGTATGCGCATCTGCTGACCCACCACGAAGCCTGCGGTGAAGGCGATCCTCGCGAGGAGCAGCCGCGCAAGCGGCGCCGCTGCCCTCGCCCGCGGCCCTGAGTGCCTGGCGAGGCCCCCAGTGCCAGGGCTCTGCTCAATAAAGAGCACATAGCAACCTGGGCGTCTGCCACCTCTGTCCCTGCCGTCGGATCCAGGGTCAAAGCTGAGGCCCCGGGTGAGTAGGTACTTAACACGGCCACCACCACGACCTGGAGCTAGGGCTGCTTTTAACTTATCTTTGTAGTACAAAGGTCAGCTCATGCCAGATCTACAGGCTCAAGGTGAGCTTAAATAATCTATACTTGGCTACACTTGGAAGAACCTGTTTCTAGCAAAGGCTTGAGGTCTCCCAAGGGTCCTCAACGTTCAAAAATCCCTCTTGGGTGGAGGGAGGGTCCCAGGCTGCTATCAGACATCATACCAGGAAGAACAGCTAGGCTGGCCAGCCATGGTGGTGTGGAACCTCAGATTCTGCCTATGGCAACACTCTCAAGAAGAGGGGTTTGAGCCTCTGGTCACTCTCTCCTGCCTGACAGTGATCAGTAACTCCCAAGCATTCAACTCCTCAAATTTTAAGATCTCTTAGTCAAAGCACTTTCCTCCCGAGGTACCCAGTTCTATTCTCTACCCCACATGTAGCCAGAAGCTTCTTCCAAACCACTAATCTGTCTAAGGCAGTTCATTCCTCCTGCTCATAGTTCCCACTGTTTCTCCACTATCCCCACTAAAGCCCAAGGCTAAAATTGGGATGTGCACTCCAGCTCCCCAGCCTGCCTTCCCTGAGCACCTCTCAGTGCTTGCCCCCTGCTCTTCCCTACTGATGTGGCACCAGTGGTCTCCAGTGTCAGGCTCACTCTTGCATCACTCCCGAGAGGAGCAGCATGCTCTGGGCAGAAGCCAGCTGCTGGCTGGATCCCACACCCAGCTTCCAGAATAGACTCTAAAGCGACCATCTCCAGTTGTAGGCCAGCTGGGGTAATATTACCACTCAAGAGGATGGGGTAGGAGAGTCTTGAGTTCAGTACAACAGATTGCTTCAGAAAATAAAAACTGAGTCTTTCCTGCCTCACACTGATGACCAACTCAGAATGCTTCCCCTGGCGCCAGAGGAAGCAGGATGAGGTCTCAGCCCACTAGACCCATAAGCCATGGACTTAAGGAAGTACTTCTGTCACTGTCCACAGGCTTGAATCATGCTGGAAAATGTGTGACCTATGCACAGCATAGTACCTATTTACTTGAGAGGTAATTGCCCTGTCGCAGGGTTCTCAGCACATGAACGCTTGGTCCAAAGTGTCTATCATCCCCTTCCCCAGGACTGTAATTAGGAACTTTAAGAGATCTTCCCAGTTAACCACAACCCTATGGTTAGATTCTTTTCCTAAGACCCATTTCGTCCTTGTGATCCAGAAAACACCCAATATCTGTGTAACCCTTATTTTAGCTTAAGTGCATCTGAGTCTTCTATGTGTAAATGGTCCTAAAGAAAATAGTCTATTCAGGAGGTGAGGCTCATTGCTACCTTTTTGGAGGAAGAAACACCACAAAGAAGGATTTGGGGCGCTGGAGAGATGGCTCAGTGGTTAAGAGCACTGGCTGCTCTTCCAGAGGTCCTGAGTTCGATTCCCAGCAACCACATGGTGGCTCACAACCATCTGTAATGAGATCTGGTGCCCTCTTCTGGCATGTAGACAGAACACTGTATACATAATAGATAAATAAATCTTAAAACAAAAACAAAAACAAAAAAAACAGAAGGATTTGGACTTGTGAAGGTTATGTGAGCTTCAGAACTTAAGGGGTCAGGCCAGACCCCCTGTGTGGCTATCAGGGCTGAGCATAAGAAGTCCTCATTGTAGCTGTAGATGTGTGGTTGAGAGCTTTCTCTTTAGAACTGAGATAGAAGGGCTGCGCATGTGGCTGGAGTACACAGATACTCCAAGCAGCATTTGGGAGGAAGAATTAACAGGCTGTGTTGGTTAGCCAGGCCCCTATTATGGGCTCCCAAATGGCGGCCACCAGCCCCATGCAGGAGGAAGGGGGTGGGGAGCACTACAAGACTGAGGTCATAATGAGCCCAATCTAAGTTCCTTTCTTCCCACCCCCACAGCCAGGTAACTCTCTAGCCAAGCTAGGTGACCTGCCAAGAGACTTCCTAGGAAGCGGGGACTCTGGGACCCTATAAGTACTGACCAAGAGGGCCACATCCCAGCTTTGGGGTGGAGCCACAAAAAGGAACCGCCACTCTAAGAGGCGGGGCCTCGTAGTCAGAGGCGGAGCTGAGAACTGAGGGCCGGTTATCTGCCCAGAAGGCCCTCAGGGCTTTGGGGCACACTGAGGCCAGAAGGTGGCGTCGGTGCACAGGACCCGCCGCGCCCACAGGCTGCCTTCATTGGACCACGTTGCGGTGGTGGTAGACCAAGGCTCGGGCTTCACCAAGGCGGGCTTCGCTGGGGAGATCCAGCCGCGTGTTGTGCTGAAGAGCTCGAGTCTGATGCCAAGTTGGGACCGGCCTGTGCTGCCCGGAGCACGGGATTGCGAGCTGGCGGGCGGCGTGGCGCGTGCACACCCCATCAAGCACGGTGTGGTGGTGGACTGGGACGCACTGGAGGGACTGTGGGAGCGCCTAATGGTGGGATGCCTGCAGGTTCGCCCCGAGCAGTGGCCTGTGCTGGTGAGCGACTCACCATCAGCACCACCCGAGGGCAGAGAGAAGGTGGCTGAACTGCTGTTCGAGGCCCTGACAGTACCCGCGTGCCACATGGCCAGCACGGCACTGCTGGCACTCTGCTCTACCGGAGCGTTCAGTGGGCTGGCTGTGGAGGCGGGCGCAGGCGTGTGCCACGCCACACCCGTCTACGCAGGTCACTCATGGCACAATGCCACCTTCCGTCTGAACGTGGCAGGCAGCACCCTGTCGCGCTACTTTCGAGACCTGCTGGTGACAGCATCTCCTGATCTTCCCCTGCAGGCTCTGCCCCGCAAGACCGTTACACAGCTCAAGAAACGCTGCTGCTATGTGTCCCTGGATTTCCAGGGTGATATCTGTGACCCTGCCCGCCACCAGAGGGCCTGTTTTTGCCTGGGCAATGGCTGCTACGTGCACCTCGGCAGCGAGCGCTTCCGCTGCCCTGAACCCCTCTTCCAGCCAAGTCTCCTAGGCCACCCGGAGCCAGGACTGCCCACGCTGGCCTTCCAGGCACTGCAGAAGATACCCACAACGCTGCGGACACGGCTGGCCAGTACGGTGGTGCTGGCTGGTGGCTCCACCCTTTTCCCCGGCTTTGTGGAGCGCATGAATCTGGAGCTAAAGGAACAGTGCCGGAGGCACGGGTCCCGCGCCTTGCAGCCCTGCCTGGTGGCTCAGCCTGGGCGGGGCACAGCTGTGTGGACTGGAGGTTCCATGATGGCCTCCTTGCACTCCCTTCAGTGCCGCTGGATGACTCGGGCCATGTACGAGGAGTATGGCCCCTTTCTGGTGCGAGAAGTGTTCGACTGAGTTGTCTACGGAAGTAGAATGGATGGTGCCACCAGGGGTACTGCAGGAACAGAGGCGGCAGTGCTGTCCTCACATGGAGAGTCGGATAAACAGATTGAAGTGTTTGCAGCTGCCGGGGTTATATGTGGATGGGCTGCCCTTTGCCCGCTGGGGGCCAACACTGACCCTCATTTTGCTTTCATTTCATACCCAAACCACCAGTTCAGAGAAGGTCAGTCCAGCAGGGCCAGGCTCAAAGACCAACACTTGAAATAACTCTTACATGAGGAAACGAGAAGCCTGTCCCTAGCTGTGTGCTCAGGTGATCCTTGAAGCTCTCAATTTTCCCTTGTCTGTAGAAAGTGGGGTCACAGGGCAGTGATTAGCATGTGCAAGATCTTAGGGTCTATCCTCACGTACCAAAACAAAAACAAAAACAACAAAACGGATAGTGAGGTAAGGCCCCAGACCTGTTCACCACCCCCAGAAGGGGGAGCAGTTTCTCTCTAGTTTTTGAGACAGGATCTCAACTATATGCCCAGGCTGGGTTCAGTCTCAAGTTCTCCTGCCTCTTCCAAGTGTTGGGGTTAAAAGTGTAAGCTTCTACCAGACAGTGGTGCCGCATGCCTTTAATCTCAAGCACTCAGGAGACAGAGGCGGGTGGTTCTCTGTGAGTTCAAGGCCAGCCTGGTCTACAGAGCAAGTTCCAAGACAGCCAGGGCTACATAGAGAAACCATCTCCAAAAAGAAGAAAGTATAAGCTAATACCTAATCCTGGCAGAGACGGTTCTTAACACATAAAGGGAGGGGTTTTTGTTTTGTTTTGTTTTGTTTTTTTGGTTTGTTTTGGTTTTGGTCACTAAGGGTCTGGAGCCCTGGCTGTCAATAATTGTTTACACAGGTTATAATATAGGCCAACAAACTGGTAGGCATATATATACACACCTGCCTTCTAACATGTCCTGAGGTTAGGCCCTGCCTCATAGGCTCCATGCACCTGTGGACATGTCTGCACTCATCTGTGTCCTAGCCCATGCCTGCTAGATCTTGGCTTGAGAGCTCCCAGCAATTACATCAGGCCAACAAAAACCTTCTATGTTGGCTGAATTGTTTTGGGTACTGGGAACAGAGCAAAGAACAAAACACTAGATCTCTGCCTTTTCCTCCCCCAACAGGGTCTCACTCTAGCCAGGCTGGCCTGAAACTGACAGCCACTGTCTCCTGAGTATTAGATTACAGGTGTGAGCCACCATGACCCACTAATTGTTCGTTATCACCTCTGGCTTATAGATGAAGAAACTGCGGATCAGGGAGTAAAGGGTAGCCATTAAGTGGGAAGACCAGAATCTGAACCCAAGCTCCATTTCCACAGCCCTGAGCCACGGCAGGAAAGAGTCGCACCGAGCCATCATTTCAGGTTCCCCATAGGCCCTTCCCGGGACTTACTAGCTTTGTCGTGTCCATAGCAGTGAGCACCGCACGGTTCAGGGACTCCAGTGCAGCCAGCACAGGCCGATAGACACCCAGGTGTTTGGAGAAATAGTCTGTAGGCAGAAAAGGTGCTGGAGGGATCCAGCCCACACCATCCCTCCAGCCTGGAATTCTTCAGCTGCCCCGGCCTTCCTGTCCCGTGAAACTAGCCCCCCGTAAAGCATCCCTTACCACACCCACCTGCCCAGGGGCTGGGACACAAGGGCCAGCATAGGCCTACTCACCACACAGTTTCTCTGTTTCTAAATTGCTGTGAGGGAAAGAGAAAACATCCTTCAGACTCTCAGAACCTGCGCCTGGTGAACTGAATATAGATGCCCGTGTCCCTGTCCCTTTTACTCAGCCTGACATGGTGTCTCTTTGGTGGGGGAGGGGGCAGAGGCACTTCAAAGGGTCAGGCCTTTGAAGCCTTGAGTGCTGATCTAGTCGGGGATACATACACTAAGGAGAAGGGCGGGGAGGGGAGAGGAAGGGGGAAGGAGCAGCTGTGCATGTTCATGGTGTGTGTGTCCCCAGGCAAAGAAGCAGGGAAGAAGGGTACACTTGAACCAGATGTGTGTATATGGACACGTGGGAAGATGTGTATTCCTGCACCTGCATCCACAGGAGGAGGCAGGCAGAACCCAGCTGTCCTCAGACATCCTCTGCATGGGAATGGAAGGGCTGATCACGGGTGGTGACTCAAGCCTGGTTATTCTGGGGTCCCAGCTGGAAGCAGTGTAGCAACAAGGCTGGAGCTGAAGAAGGTGTAGGTGGGTGGATAAAGTTGGCACTGGGCCCTGGCGTCTTTCCCCACCCCCTGGCCTCCGGAAGGAGCCATGACAGCAGGGAACACAGTGGGTTGGGACACCCTGGCCAGGCACTGCGCAGCAAGCCACCCCTCTATTGTACTCACTCGGTGAGATGCCCATCGATGCCACTGAACAGTTCCCGCAGCTCCGCTGAGCTGAGAACCCCATCAGCAAAGTAATTCTGGAATTCTTCAAATGAGAGCTTACCATCATCTGGGGAGAGACAAGGCATGGAGTTGGTGTCCTTGAGTCCTGGCTGCATCCTGTCCCCAGATCCAGGCTCCCCAAAGGCCTGACAGCATTCACGATCACTCAGCCAGGTAGGGTTCTGACCTTAGTCCTAACCGTTTTGGACAAAAGGACAGGAGTCCCCAAAAGTATATGCTGAAGGAAACAAGGCCCACCTTGTACAGGATGCATTTGACTCAATATCAGCCAAATGGAAATACGAGTGAGCAGCTGGGACACACCAGAGCATGGCTTAGGACTTAGGGACATAGCCCCTGGTCCCATAGACTAGCCGTACCCCAGGTCACAGAGAAGCAGGTGAAGCCCTCTAACAGTGGGACTCTACAAAGCAGCAGACTGGCTCGGATGAGGATGAGCTTCCCATAATAGGGAGCATGTAAGCAGAGAGCAGAGGAACAAGATGGTTAAAGATAATGGGATTTGGTCTGAGTGATAAGCAAAGATGGGGAGGGCCAGAGTCTGCCACAGAATGCACTGAGAGCATGTGTCTTAAAATCAATGGTCCCCACCAGTCTGGAGGCTCATAAAAGGACAAACATGTGGGGATACAAGGAGGCTGAGACACGAGTCTGTAGTCCCAGGGAGGAGAAGAAAAGTGGAGGTTGAATGGGTGCCCCACCACCTACTCCAGGGAGCCTAGGGTGATGTATCACACAGATCTGTATCCCAGACCCACCAATTAAAGGCTTAGACAATTGCTGGGCAGTGGTGGCGCACGCCTTTAATCCCAGCACTCGGGAGGCAGAGGCAGGCGGATCTCCGTGAGTTCAAGGCCAGCCTGGTCTACAGAGCGAGATCCAGGAAAGGCGCAAAGTTACACATAGAAACCCTGTCTCGACAAAACCAAAAAAAAAAAAAAAGAAAGAAAAGAAAAAGAAAAAGAAAGGCTTAGACAACTGATACTCTTCTCTGAGCCTCTCTTCCTTTGCCTGTGAGGTGGAATGAGGAATTCCCACCTAGCAAGCTGTTGTAAGGACATCACAAGGTCTTGTGCAAGCACCCATCACTGAGCTAAAGTACTGCTTAATATAAGCCCCCACCTCTAGGTTCAGGTCAAACCACGTTTCCCTGCTCCCTATTCTGCACACCATCTGTTCTCCAGGCAGTGTCCCTTGTTTGACCTCCCATTTGAGGGTCTCAAGACTTCACTCTGGGCTGTACCTCCAAGTCCCTAGCTCTGCTACCCTGCCTCACCCCACACACACACACACACACACACACACACACACGGTGTGGGACCCAAGGGGAAGAAGCCGCACTCACCATTCTTGTCTGCTCTGCGAAAAACCTAGGGGACAAAGGGAAATGAGTGGGTATTGTGAGTGGAGCCAGAGAGGTAGAAGTCCCCCTCCCAGGCCAATGGGGCCCCAGCTGGCCAGCCAGCTCCCCTGCATCGCCTTCCTCCTGCTTAGGGCAGTCCTGCAGGAGTCTCCAGCAAGGTAGCACAGGAAGCTGGCACATCAAGTCCTAATGCTGGCTCCCTCCTGCTGAGGCGGCTTCACGGTGGGTGGGTGGGTGCTCCTGGACAGCTCTCTATCCCACAGCTGGAGTCTAGCCTGAGTTCGCTCTGATGTATCAGCCTTTGGCATGGTCCCAGCTTGAGGAAGCCTGGACAGATGGACCAATTTCCATCCTGAGGAGCCATGGAAGCCTCATCAGACCCGAACCCCGACTCTTCTGTGTGTCCTCCCATAGTCCACTCCGTTCTCCATCCACCCTCACTAAACAGGCGCTTCCCTTGTGCCTGTTGAAGGCTGGCAGGCAGTGGCTACCCCTCTGTGGGTGCTTTGGTTTTCCCACTAGTAGTGAGGGAGTAGCCTGAGTTTAACCCTTTCAAAGCTCGGGAAGAGGCCATCTCATCATAAAGACCGGGCATCTGGGCATGCACGTTTGTGTGAGGGGCAGGGAGGGCGGCAAGGGTCAGCAGATTTTGTTCATAGAGGCAGTGATAAAGCAGGTATAGCAGCACACTCAAGTTCCTGCCCCTTCTAGGATCCAGCTCTCCAAAGCAGCCAAGCAAGGGGCATCAAGTTCAAGGCCTGGGCAGAACCCCCACTGGCCAGGGGCCTGGCTGCTGAACTCTCCACCCAAGTCCCTCAGAGTCACTGGTCTAGACAACTAATGTAACCCTTAGGCTGACTCAGAGAAGGCCTGCTACTAGATTGGGATCACACAGCAGCTCAGTATGGCCTGGCTGGGGTAAGTGGAATGGGGGTGGGACAGGAGAGCTAAGCTTGGAATAAAGACAATTTCATCCACATCCTACTGTGCCCCCTGACTCCATTTGTGACCTGGAACATGTCTCCTCAAGCCTGAAGGACCGTGGTCAAGGTGCTGAGTCACTAGGGCATTGGGGAGGGGGCACAACCCTGGCAAGGACCTCTGGAGTAGGGGCAGGAGAGGGCCAGGACTGGCTGAGCACATCAGTAAAAGGTTTAAAAAAAAAAAAAAAAAAAGGTGGGGTGGGGGGGCTCAGAGCCGTGGCTGAGTCAGGTCAGGATGCTCTAGCCATACAAGGGGGCTTCAACGCTGCCACCTGCTGCCCATGAGAGGAGTCCCTTACCAACTGTAGGACTCTGCCACCCTCGGGGTCAGGCCTGAGGCTTCTGGGGCAGGACAGAGCTCCTTCTAGGTCCAGAGGTTCCCATGGCCCATCAGCCCAGCAGGGGCTGCAATGGAGCAGGTCAGTGATGTCTGCTGTGTGTTGACAGCCCCTAGCCCCACTGGGCACATTTGGGGTGGAAGACAGTAACACTATTGTGGAGACAAGGAGAGACACGGAGCGGCACACAGTATGAGGAACACAAAGGCAGGGGGATGAGAATAGCAGGGTCACAGATAATCTGGGAGAGGGACTGAAGCCGAACCAAACAGATGTGGAGCGAGAGACAGAGACACGGAGGACAGATACTTGGGGAGCCCCGCACCCGCCCACCGGAGCCCTACTCACATCCTGGAAAAGCGCGTGTCCCGCGGCGGGCGCGGGGTGTCGTGGCGGCTGGGGCGCGGGTGGCCGGAGCAAGCACACAGCGAGCAACCCAGCGCACGCCATGGCTCGGAGGCTTGCAAGGCTGCGGGTTGCGGTTCCCAGGCCGCCTAGGCTGGCTGGGGGCGGGGCGCGCGCCCATTGGCCCAAGCATGGCCCCGCCCCCACCTGGCCTCGGTTTCCCTGCCTGGAAGAGGCTTCCAAAAGGGGTGGAGTAAGGAGCCATCCCAGGGGTTACTTGGCAATGACAGCCTTGCAGGAGCTCTACAGGACCAGGCGCTCCACGCAGTCTGGTGTGGGCAGTCAAAGCTCTAAGTGCAGGAGCCATTAACAGGTCAAACCTACAAGCTCGTCACCTCTGGGCCAAAGGAATTGTAAATGCTTTGCTCAAAGGACTTAGGGTTTAATGCACTCATGGATTCCCAGTCACCGCTCCCTTCTCCCAGATCTCAGCCCCATCACCTCTTCCAAGAAACTTTGGTTTTCTCACTTGTAAAACAGTCCCAGACCACATGCTGCAGGTACAGCGAGACACACACACAAAAGCATCTGACACAAATACAGTTCACTGTGTGTTGCATCTTTACTAGTGCTCAGAAATGTCCGGAAGGCGCACAGCAAGCCGACTCTAACACTCCCTTTTCTGCACTTAGATAATATGCATGACTTCCTACCAGTCACTGGGTCAGTTTTCTTCCTCTCAAGTGGTTACATACAGAAAGGAAATTAAATCAGATAGGAACAGGGAACTGAGCATTCCCTTTGACCCTAGCCTCACATCGGCATAGAGTCCCAAACCCAGCCCTAACACCATCAAAATATTTATTAAAACCAAAGCAGGAGGGAACAGAACTGTTAAGAAACAAATCAAAGTGCAGTTTGGAGGGTGGGGAGGACAATGGAGGTGCACTCCG